TCAGAAATAGTTTCTCATGTGAAGAATCAGAGGGTACAATCCATGCTCCATGCTAGTGTGTGTGTGTGTGTGTGTGTGTGTGTGTGTGTGTGTGTGTGTGTGTTGGACCCGTTGAACACTACATAATAACTCAATATCGTAATTAATGTTCATTTCTGATTCTGTTTAAGCAGGAATATTAAACAGGCCTTTACAGGGTCCCTCACACATTCATTTGTAAAGTTGAAGCCTATTCTCTACTTGTGTCTTCTGTGAATATGACACGATGATTTGGCCACTGCCATGTTTCTACAGTAGCCCAGAACAGACAAACCAAACACTGACTCTATCAAGGGCCTTTTCCTCATTTTGTCTAAACCTGGAGGTCACTGGAGGTTCTCATACACACCTGGGAAGGGAGGGGTATTCAGTTCACCACTAGATGCCACTAAGTCCTACATACTGGGCCTTTAAAAATCTGTTTATTTAGCTGGTGATTTATAGAACCTGCTCCTGTATTCTGTCTGTGCTGAACTCAGCCACAGGATGATTTGGAGGAGCAGCGCAGTTACAAGTCCAGCTTCATAATATCATACTTTTAACCAACTTCAATTCAGACTGCATTAGGTCAAATTCAGCCTGTTCAGCTGTCAATCATAAAACTAAAGTCATCAATCTCTGTCATTAAATATGTGGCTTTCACTGCATGATGTAGCACCTGGGACAGAACAGACTCATCTCACCTCCAGCTGCTCGGAGCTGCTCCTGGTGTTGGCTGCTGATGGGAAACCCAGTCTCACAAAGACCTGCAACGCCACTTTCAGCCTAAGAGAGAGCAAGACAAAAACTACAGCCTCTATGTAAACGATACTTTCATGTAACTGGGAAGACTTCCAGTGACTCCTAATTAGGGAGTAATAGTGAGGGCAGCTCACGTGTTAATTATTCAAAAGTAAGCCATGTAGCAGAGGCTGTGCAATTAGGTGATGTATGTACCTTGAAATCTTAAGTGGGAACTGCTGCTGTTACATTAGTGAACGAATCACTCAGGTAAAGTGGAGTCCATATTAACAACTCTCACACAGAATGAACTCTAATCAGTCACCAAAAGCTTCATTCAAAAGCAGACAAAACACTAAACCTACAACAGACAACCTCAGCGAGACAGTTTTGGGACAGAAAACAGGTCGTTATCTTACATCCATAATGTCAAATGTCATCACTGACCTGAGCCTGGTTCAGACACGCCTGCAGTTTCCTCTTTGCCCTCCATCTGGCCACCCTCAGTCTGGTCTTCTCTCGACGCTCTCGTACCTTTGACACAACATCATCGTATTTTACATTAAATGTGTCATTGCAACAACACACTAAGAATATAACCTGATCTGAACTCTGTTATGTTGACCGACCAGATCGGCCAGCAGCGGCTGAGGCAGCGACTTCTCCAGCTCTCTGCGTCTGTTGAGACTCCGCCGGCGGAGCTCGTTCCTGCGCAGTTTGTATTCTTCATAGAGGCTGAGGTCTTTAGTCCAGGGCCGCACTCCCTGACGTGGTGGGATACCGGAGGGCAAGGCCACCATCGACGGCAGGGAGGCTGTTGGCTGGAGCATCAAATCTGAGAACACACACACACACACACACACACACACACACACACACACACACACAGAAAGGTTATCTGGACTTCTTTGACAAATGAAATTGAGTACAGATTACAGTTAGACTAATACATTACTACTTTCAATAATTATTGCTGACCTTCAGTTACTATAGCAATTATCAATACTGATTTTTGTCCCAGGAGAAATAAGGGGGGGGCACATAATGCCAGATAAAGACTGCTAATTCTAGTTATTTATAGTATATATAGTGTATATATAACTCTCCTACTCACAGGTGCTTGGTCCAGCTGAGCTGAAGGTTGTACTGTGACTTCTCTGACTTGCTGGAAGTCCTGACCACTCTGTCCCTGAACTTTGAGCCTGGAGGAACAAACAGAAGCATCAACACACTGATATTCACTCCATTCCAGGAGATCTCTTATGACCAGTTATCTTCAGATGAGCTGTTTTCATTCGGATCAGAACTCGTTGTGTGTCCTGCGTCTGGAGAAATTGCCAGTGATGTTTCCACATCTCTGGCAGATTTCTCTCTGTTTGATTACTGAACACTGTTGCTAAATAGTTGTTGAAGAAAGAAACAGTCTTATTTTCAGAGGGCCTGACTTGCCATTCTTAGATCTCACATTCAGGTGTAGCCTCACCTCTGACTCTGAAAGATGACCCTGCTGCACCTGGCAGTCCAACAGTAAGGTGGCCATCACCTCCTGCTCTTCCTCTGGCTCCCCCTTGATACAGATCACCTCCTCCTCCTCCTCCTCCTCCTCCTGCTGCTGCAGCTGCTGGGCCTCCTGCTTCACCTGCAACACAACCAGCACTGTGGTGACTAATCAGTAATACTCTAAGACTCTCTAACGAACGACTCTGTGCATCTTCACTGTCCACGTAACATTTAGTGTTTTAGTTCAGTACATTCTCATTCAAGTCAAATCAAATTTTATTTATACATCATGGTAAATGGACTGCTTTTATATTAGTTAACATTAACAACAACGACATGAAACACACAAAAGAACCTTATACTCATATTTGAGAAGCTGGAGAAAGCAAATGATTTTTTTTTGTTTTTCTTTTGGTAAATTACTTAAACGCGACAAAACACTGATTCTTTTCCTGTCTATTGATTAACTGATTACCTAGCTAATCCATTCAGCTCTGGCTGTGAACACACAACAATCTTTAAATCACTTTTACCACATCCATGTTGCGTATTCCCTTTTGCTCTCGTTTTCAATTCCTTAGAAATGTTCATTTCATCTGTATTATGCACATGTCAGATGTATTGTTAGGAACTGCCATGTTTCTTCAACAGCATTCACTCATATTTTAGTATTTAAAAACACATATCATGTAAAAACTAAACAAAATGGAGATTACTTTCTCTAATCCATTTATTTCTTCTACTACAAATAAATAAAGAGAAGGAGACAGATTTTTGTCTTTATCCCTGTTTTAAAAAACAAAACAAAAAAAGAGGTGACAGGTGTAAAGCATGGTTCTGTCAGGTGTGTGTGTGTATATGTGTGTGTGTGTTGTCACCTGTAGAGCAGAAGAGGGCAGCGTGGAGCTATCAGCCTGTGTGGAACCATCTGGGGACATCGGGCCAGCCGCTGCCTGCTTCTCCAGATCCAGAGTCAGGGCGAGAACCGGAGGAGGGGCCACGACGGCGTCCACGCTCTCAGCTCGCTCTTTGGGATTGAACAAAACTACACAAACAAGAAACAAGCATTTGATCAGCCTGCTTCATCTGTGCAGGGACACAGTGTGATACAAGCCGACTCAACATATTGAATTTTCCTTTAATTTATCACCTGTTTCTAAGTTTTGCAGCATATTTCAACTACAAAATATTTTAAAATATTATACCCCGTGGCTTTAATTTCTTGTTGCTCCTGAGCAACATGTGCACTGACACCAACCTACAATACACTTCTATCAACCTATACATATTTTAGGAAGCCTGACCAGGGCAAAATTTTAGGGCAGATGCTGAAACAGATGTTCTTCATGTGTAAAAACAACTGAGGTTTAGTTCCAGATGTATTTCTGTCTTTGCCCTACGTTAGCTACAGCTTCAAATCTCATTTGACAGACTCACACACATTCGATCATCCCACCCCTGAAGCCCCCGGCTCTGTACCTGTGCTGCTCTCCAGAGACTCTGCAGGTGCGTTCACTGACAGTGAGACAGGCAGCAGGTCAGACAAGTCGGAGCTGGCGACTGCCGTGTCTGAATGACAGCGCACTCTGATGGCATGTGTGCTTGTGCTCTGTGGAGAGGTGCATTCTGGGAGTACAAACAAAGGAAGGAGTCAGACTCAGTGGAGAGGAAGGGAAAGTAGAAGTCGGTCATTTCAGTGGTTGTTACCTTGACTGCTTCTCGTCAGCGCTCCGTCAGTGGTCCTGGTCTGAGCCAAGCAGGATGGCGAGGTCTCGGTGGAGGTATGGCCTGAACCACCTCTCTGTGTTTGGGGGAAGGAGGACGGGTGGATGCGGACCAGAGTGGAAGTGGAGGCTCTCTGCTGCAGCTCCTCCTCCACCCCCTGCCTGTAGTACTTCAGCTTCAGCTCGGTGTAGCGCAGCTTGGCTCGAATATTGTCGTTCTCTTTCTCTTTCAGGGCTTTCTCCCTCTGCAGTGCCGTGACGTCCCTCTTCATTAGCGCCACCTGGGCTTTCAGCTCCTCAAATTTGACTCCAACTACTTTGAGCATCTCAGCCAGCACCGTCTCCACCGCTCCATTCACGGCCCGCTCAACCACGGTGCCCATCTGACCTCGAATCAGCGATACAGCAATGCTTACATCCATTTTGAAAAGACCTGTGACCCCGAGACAGATTAATGATCCAGCTCTTTGTCTACAATTATGTCACTTCAACTCTCTACATCACAACAGGAAAAATACAATTACACAGAGAGAATGAATCACATTGAATATTTAGCATAATGTCAATTAAGGATCAGCTATGCTGTTGGAAAATCACAACCAACAAAACAAACAAACAAACAAACAAACAAACAAACAAACCACAAACTAGGGACAAAGTCTTTTTTTTGCACAAATGTCACCTCTGTGAAACATATCTTTATAAGATCCCAAAACCAAATACATACTTTTGCCTAAAAGCGACATTGATAATCTATTGCTACAGTTCCTTGGACCCAAACTTTGGAAAAAAACTTTTAAAAGGTAAGTAAAAAAAAAAAAGAAGTAATTGTGGCATGTGAAAAGCACCGCTCTGCTTGTAAAGTCTCAGAACAACATTAACTCATTAGGCCTTTATTGATTCATTAGGACTTGTAAGGCAGGTCAAGGAATTGTCAGCTGGTGATCATACAAAAGATGATTCGAGAGCTGTGCTAACACTCAACAACCACAGGCTCCTCTAAGCAGCTGACTGAGGATCTGAAATTGAAGCTAACTGATGCTAAAAAGCAGGAGAGGCTTTAAAAAATTATCAAAGAGCTTCCAGCTTCAAATTTCCCATTTCTTTACTATCATAAAGACATTCCAATTAGGAATAACTATCGAAGTCAAGACAAGATCTGAAAGACCAAGAAATATATAAGATATAACGCCAAGGCATACTGCCAATAAGAGAACAGCGACCTGGGAGAGCGTCATGGTGTTCTGCCAGAACACCATCACCTGGGTGTATGCCAGGAATAACAATGCAGGAGTTGGTCAACAGTTAGGCAAGAGTAGTACTACGAAGCCAAAAGGATTGGGAAAAACAGGATGCACATACACACACATAGCCACTTGAGGTATAAAAGGACATGTCACGATCTGTGTTTGGTGTTGTTGTCTCCGTCTATGTCTGCAAGTGGGCCGCATTGAATAAAGAGAGATTCCCACCTTGATACCTGTGTCTCGACTGTCTGATTCCTTTTTTGATCCACCACTTCTCGCCACAACATTACGAACCTTTAAATGTTCCACTGCAGAAACTTTAGCTGACACATTCAGACTCTTTACAGCTCCACGTACAAACAGGTCTCTTTAAACTGACGCCAGCTGTGCAGAGGTTATTAGCTAGCGTTAGCACCTCTCTCTCTGTACACAGCTTCTTTAGAGGTCAGACTGTGTTGATTTATTCTCGTTAAAGTCTAAATTTGGGTGACAGAGAAAATGTTTCACTTACCGCTTGTGATAGTTTACGATTAACAACTGGTTTGCTGCTGGCTTCTTAGCTAACACAGGATCAGAACTGTGGTTAGCTAGGTAGCGCTAACTTATACTTTAAAGACTGTTGAAGGTTATTTTTTCATTACTAAAACTCCCATTATTAAGCACATAGCATAACTGAAAAAAGTGTTGGTTAAATATGTTTCTTTTCACATGAATTTGGGAGTAAATCACCTATCAACAGTAGCGTATTTTCTGCCATCGCAACAATTTGGTGAAGTGTTTCCGGGGTCAAATGTCACCCGCGACACCAAAGCTCGTCAATTGAAAAACGAGGGATCACTCTGTATTGAGAAATCTTTCTTCTTTTTTTCCCCCCACCCATTTTTCGTTTGGCAACTGGTGTTTTGGGAGCATTACCACTACTTTCTGATTCAGACTGTGGGTTAGATATTGAACCATACTCATTACTCAAAGTTATTTTTCTTACTCATATTTAAGACAGTCCAACTTCTTCTATTTAAATGATACAGCTGAATAACAACTGAAGTTTATTATAATAGTTTTGTACTGCAATAACTTTAAAAAAAAAAAATTATTTTTGTTTATTTTTTTATTAAAAAAAAAAAAGGTTGGCATAATAATGTTAAAACAGCTGGGCACTGTAGTTTTTAGCAAATATTATTCTCAAACTGCTTTTGTTGGCAAATATTTTCAGCTGCGGATAAATCACATTCGGTGGCAGCAGGACATGTATATGGGAATGACTTTAAAATAAACTACAGTAACAAGTTTTTTTCGGGGAAGATTAAACAGCTAGCAGTGCTCATTCTCCCTGCCGGCGTACATTAAAACCAATGTAGAAGAAGAAGAAGAGTACAAACAATGCAGAAGTTTGTTTTCATATATTAATTTAAGTAAAGTAATAGTCTCCTCATTACTACAACAACAGATCTGTCTGTTTCAACAATCGCACTTTTTCACATTTTGCTTTTACACTTAACAATCAACTTTCCACCTCAGCCAAGCATAAAACATTTTTTGCAGCATTTAAAATTGAAAAAAACACTAAAAACAGGTGGATGGAATCCACTCTTAGAGACTTTGTTGTTTTATACCTTGTTTGTTTCTTAGTATGCGTGTATTGGG